ATCTCGGAGTTGTACTTTCCTAGTCTAAAGTGAATCCATCAATTCTTTTACTCCCTTTTTTAGAAATTGACGAGAGCAACATTCCTTATTAGTAAATAAGGGTAGTTGTTGCATACTGCCTTATCTTAACTTCTGTAAACAGTCACTTATTTTCAAGAGTGCGTTTTTATGACCTTTGCCAATACCTCTCTCCGAGGAGCCTTTCTAGCTTCCACCCTCATGAATTCTACCTTCCCTAAACACTTGGGATGGCATACGCCGTCTGTGCAACATGCTTGGCACTTCTCTCTACCATTTAAGTTTCCACACCCTCAAAAAGAGTAGATGGGGTTAATGCGACCGTTCTGACAGAGGAGGGAGATTTTCGGTTTGACACCATCAGAGACGAATTCTCACCTGGCACTCATTCTTCACAGACTCCGACTTACTAACCTTCTTATGTCTAAAAATGCATCTCTTAGAGGATCTTCATTTCTCACCGAAAAGTAAGTCAGCGTAAAATCTATGATGCAAACATATTCGCACTGTTGTCTGCTAATCGCTCATTCACCTTCTAGTGTTTATTGAAACAATACAACACATTTTGTTCCCCTTTTCTGCGACAATAACAACCTTTATCAAAAGGTCACAGCACAATAAATCTACCGATTGCAACACATTTTGATAAATCTCAAAGTGCTGCCATGTCTTTTGGGACTAAATGAACTATCCATTGCCCAGAGGACTTAGACCATAAAATTTTCACTATTCTCTTCGCTAGAAGTGCTTGAACAGTTGTTCTCCCCCGCCGTCGGAGAGGGAGGGAAAGAGAGTTGACATCTACTACGTGTGAACTGTGCACTTTCCTCATTCTTACGGTTGGAGAAATGGGGAACTCGACGTCCCTCTGTTCACACCCTTGCCATGTCACCCCAAGTTGTCACATCGCCTTTCGCCTGACCCCCGTGGCAGCATTTTAGTCTCTCCACTTGGGGAGCACTGTGGACTTTTCTCTGCCATTATGCGATCGTGTTGATGTCTCCATCGAAAGTGTGTATTGGAATAAGTTAGTTGAAAAAAAATTTAGAATATTTTTAAACTGATCTTTTATAAGTCAGGCCTCGTGTAAACACCTGGAGAATGGAAAAAGGAAGTGGACTTGCATTGACACTGTTCACTGTTCTGTTTGTCACGAATTTGCATAAAAAAGGAAGTTTTAAAACGTTTAGCAATGAAATATATGTTGTAATTTATGGCTAATGTTTTAAATGTTTGGAAACAACTGGCAGACTCAAGAGGACTATCAGAACTCTCAACCTCCCGTGGAATCAGTGTGCCTTTTGGGCTGCGAGTCGTGGCCCGATCTCAGTCCCACCTCAGATCGCTACGCACTGCGAATCTTCACGCCTTTACTGAAACAAGCACTTCCACTCTCAAGCGCACTTCGAGCTGACAGCAGTACGGTGGATGGCGGAGGCATGGGAGACGGTGATTCGATGTCTCTGACTACGCGTCTGAAACGTCGCGCCTCACTTCTCTCCCTCACTTCGCTTGGTGGTCTTAATGCGGTGTGTGGACGTGCAGTGTCACGAGCTAGTGGGCTTCTCAATGAACTCATTCTCCGTCTGCCCGATGAGGCACACTACGTGGAGTGGGCTGCAGCTGTTCGTCTTGCTGGCAGTCTGTCTATCGGTTGTTCCGGCGCCGCCACACCTGAGACTGTGCGTCGACTGTATGAGGCGGAGAAGCGCGCCACCACAAGTCTGCTACAATTACTGACTCCACTACCAATGAAGATTACCTCATTAAGGACGGATGGCAAAAATGCGGTCGGGGCAACAGAAAGGCTCTGGCTACTACAAAACATCTCAGTCATTTTGCCATATCGACTAGCCGGAGAGCAGGCTGAAGGAGGAGGAGGAGGAGGTGGTGGTGGTGGTGGTGGCACGGCACAGGCCAAATCATCAGAAATAAATGCTGCAACTACTGGTGCTCTGCCGCCTGCGAAAGAAGAGGTTAGCATAAAACTCTATTCACTTCATAAAATTTCATTTAATTTGTCTGAAAAAAGAGGGCTAAGGAGACTTACGACACCTTGTTCATCAAGGCATAAAACTTCAGGAGAGAAGTTTTATTCATCTGCTAAGTCATTTGTGATCATCGCCAAAGTGCTGCCTTCCGCCAAGGCCACGTCTCGTTGGCCTCAAGAGCACTCATTTATGTGCGGAGATTCCTAAGTTGTTGGCGCGAAAATATGGCAAATTACAATCGCAACTGACAGGTTACCATGGTGGTTAGGAGGCAAGGGGGAGGAGGGAGGGAGTGGGAAGGAAAGTAAGAAGGTTTTATGCTTTGCCTGAAAAACACACGCTAGTGATTTTTATGTATGCGTTGACTGGTAGCCACTAATTAACACACCTTTATGCACACAACATCCCCGAAACCTGCAATAAAATGATTACTTGCTCTCCTTAGCTCATGTTCATATCGATGAGAGATAATGATAGAGTGGTGAAAATGAATTTCAACCCAGGTTCGGATGTTAAAACATACTTTGGCCACTCGTTGTAAATGTATATTCAAATATGCAACTGAAAGAATGGGAAAAATCCACTCATATGTCTTTTGGAATAAAGAAGCCCATTGCCTCCAGGCGCACCACAGACAAACACTTCAAGGCTTATGAAAGTAGTAGGAACAGTTCTCAAATCTCACCACTAATTCAACTACTAAAATAATTATTTTGTTCACAAGAATACCGTCATGCTTGAGTTGATACCTTCATTGACTTTTTAACAAAAAAATCATAGGTGCTTCGAGTAGCAATTGAATGTGTCATATGAACAGTCGCTTTTAGCTGACACGAAAAAGTAGCAAAATTCTTATTTTAAAATGTCTAGTTAAGCACTTGAAGTAGCTGGTGTGTGCTTGTTAAACCTAGAGTCGGGATGGTCATAGCATCAGCCGCACCTCGCAACACTAATTGTTCATTTACTCGCATTCTTCTTTAATAAAACTTATTAAATGTAAGTTAGTACCCAATCACTAAGTAGAAATT